TCTATATTGTAATTTATATTTTTTTATATTTTATTTTTACTTTTTTTTTGTAAATTATTATCGTTATTAATATTAATATTAATATTATTATTATTATTACTATTATTACTATTATTATTATTATTATTGTGGTATTATTGTTAATATTGTTGTTATTATTATTGTTGTTGTTGTTATTATTATTATTGTTTCGTGGATACATTTTTCCACGATTTGAGCAGAGGACTTTTATGGATGGTGGATACGATGCGAAAATGTGTTATGTAAAAATATCAATAAAAAAAAAGTGATAAATGAAAAGAAATATTAATAAATGAAGAAACATTGATAAATATAAAGTAAGTTATACATATATATATATAAAGAAAAATGCATACACCATTCACATTATCGTCATGCTTGTCATTTACATAGCGTTCATTTTGTATCATAAAATTGTATCACTGCTTTTGAAAAGGCATAGAAAAATATGCCTCCGAACGCACATTCTAATAAATGATAATGATGATGATGATGATGATCATCATCATCATCATCATAGTCAACCTCATAGTCATCATCACCATTCTTATTATCATAATCATTATTATTACTATTATGGTTACTTATCATATATATATCCATTTATATCGCTTAAAAATAATTGTAATTGTTTTTTAAAAAACAAAACACTTGACAAGCGAGATTCTCGCATAATATTATATAAATATTAACCGACAATATATAACCGAATATAAATAAATACAAAAAGTGGACAGTGTCGGAAGTGTGTAAAACGTCGTCGTAAGATGAAATATATATATAATATAAAAGAAAGAAAAAGAACTTGGTGTGTGTGTGTGTGTGTGTGAAATATTGAAATTGTGGGTAATTTTGTCTTTTTTAATCGCATTTATCGCGATACAGAAAGACTTTTCACGCGTTCGTTTTGAGATGGAAGACTTTATTTCTCTCATTGTTAACCTTTTACTTCTCACTTTTTTATTTTCTTTTGTTTTATTTATATTTTTTGTCATTTTCTTTTTTTCCTATTCTTTTATTATTTAACTGTAAAAGAGCTCGCCAGGACGAATAAAGTAATAATCGTCGAATCGTAAATCGTTGGCGAGAGAGAGAGAGAGAGAGATTAGGTCAACTCGGCGAATCTTTTAACAATTTATACAATCTAGATCGACGAGAGATTTTTTCTTATCCAAGCTTTATACATTGACAAACAGAGAGACAGAATACACATAAAAAGGGGGGGATCCGATGAATAACTCATGGATAAATTTTTACGAGATGATGATATACATATACTGTGTTAAAAAAATAAGAGAAAGATGGAGACTGAGAGAGAGAAAGAAAGAGAGTGAGTGAGAGTATATGAGAGAGCACGTATTCGTACGAAATTTTTCGTTATATTGACGATAAAGATTTATTTCATTCTTCGATCGTCAAGTACGGTACAATCGGAGGGCTAAGTTGCTCTCCTTTCTCGAGATAAAGGACGAAAGACAAAAAAGGATAGATAGATAGGTAGATAGAAAGTAAGAAAGAGAGAAAGAGAAAGGGCTAGAGAGAGAGAGAGAGAGAGAGAGAGAGAGAGAGAGAATTTATCACGCAAGAAAAAAGAAAGAATTAGAAAAGAGACAGAATTCTGTCTTTTTATTTTCTTTTTTGTTTCTCTCTTTTTCTTTTTCTCTTTTTCTCTTTCTCTTTCTCTTTATTTTCTGCTTACTTTTTTTCTTTCTTTCTTTCTTTCTTTCTTTCTTTCTTTCTTTCTTTCTTTATAAATATCATTAAGTTACATGGAAAAAGTTCCTGTCGAATTTTAAAATACATATTTTGATATTGATATTATCAAAAAGCTCGTGAAATTTACTTTCTTGAAACGAGTAGCCAACGGTATGTATCTACATATAAATTGGAATATTTATAGGATAGAATAAAGTTTAAAGTTAATAAATAAGAGTATATATTGCGTTTTCGATACGATAAAAGAATTTTATAGGGATCCTGCCCTGCTAATATTTCTTTTTTGTTTTTTCTTGTATCTTCAACACTTCGATCAAAAAGTTAACGAATTTTCTAATTTTTCATTTTACAAATTTTCAGTTACAAAATTACCAATTCTACTAGTGGTAGCATTTTAAATGACTCGACGAAACATAGTCTCTTTTTTTATTCGTTATTCTTATGTTGATACTTTGTTAGAGAGAAAAAGAGAAAGAGAGAGATAATAAAAATAAAATAATAGCAATAATAATAATAATAATAATCATCATAATTAATAAAAGTAATAGAGATGAAAGATTTGAATCGGAGCGTGTAGTAAAGAGAAAGGAAGAAAAGAAGGAATAAAAATAGGGTGAAGGGTGAAGGGTAGGATTTAATTAAACAAGAACCTCGAGACTCTCACGCGAACGTGCCTTCTGTTGTCCGCACTTGCCGTTCGATTGTACGATCATTGCAACTGATTGGCAGGTACTCTCGTTTCCTATTGGTCTTATAGGAGGCATTGCGAGTCTTAGTTCGTACCAAAACTTACGACGATTGCCGGACGTGAGAAAATTTGTTGAAGAGAATGAGAACGACGACGTTGAGGAAAGTGGATTAAGAGATTTATCAATTGGGGGATTGTTATTTGGTTCCTCCCATCGAAGGATTTTCAAACGATCGAATAGTACAAAGTTACTGTCCGACCTATCACCTCGTCTCGATGATGGTTTTCCCATCGCCGTGGTATTCGGTAGTTCCTTCAAGATCACTGCGATTGTTCTTGTCGATAAACCAGCAAGCTGTTTCAAAATTGGTAGGACGCTTGACTCTGTCCAAACGTCACCTAACGATCCTGGACTCAGAACCACGATTATACGCCTTGCTGTATTAACGTGAGGTCCAATTTCCGAAGTCCCTGAGAACAATAGAATAGTTACGAGTCATTATACAAAATTATTCGATTTTCGAAAGAAATAAATTGTACGGTTTGATAAATAAATATTCATTTTTATATAACCGTTATTATTTGATAATATCGAATAAGTGTTTGAAACTATTGGTACAGAAGCGACTCGACGAATATAGAAAAATATGTTCAATATTATTATTCGATAACAATTAAATCAAATTTCTCTGACGGCAAATGAACTTGTATCATTTACAAAGAAAAAACACTTTCAGTCAATAATATTTTATAAATAAACTTTATAAAATATAAGAAATACAAATTTATAAGAATATTGTGTAGTATTGTTTTTGCTTATATCATTTAAAAAAGAAAAAAAAAAATGGTTTAGATATTAGATTTATGAGTAAAAGTGTAACAAAAATCGCGTCGATTTACGGTTAGACGAAACAATGTCAAGTGATACTTGACGTAAAACAATATAACAGAACTGCTTTACAAATTTGATCCTTTAAAAGAACAAAAAAAAGGAAAAAAAGAAATAAATATATTGAACTAAAATTTGAAATTACAAGGCACCACCGGGCGTTGCTTTTTCTTTCTATTTTATTCTTACCCCTTTTAAAAGGATACACTCTACTACTTCGGCCAATTACGTTTGAACGGCAATTTACCGTGTGCTGCGATAAATTTGTAGAACCTGATAATTAATGTTTTATAAAATGAAAAAAAGATGAAAAAAAAATAAAAAATAAAAAAGGGGGCGAAAAGTGGTTCTTGTTGTGATCGAATGAAACGTTCTTCAACAGGAGTATCAACAAAGATGGGGGAGAAGAAGAACACCGCTGACGTTAATAATATTTTGTAGACGTTTAGAATTTTCACGATCGATCGACCGACCAACCAACCAACCGACCGGTTTAAACGCGCGTACCATTTTAAATGCAAATTTCTCGTCGTTGGTCTTTCACAGAGTAGATGATAGTACGATCTAGATAAAACTACAACTAGAAAGAGAGAGAGAGAGGGAGAAGAATTTAGAATCCTTCGTACGAAGAAAACGTTTAATAGTTGTTTCATTCGCTAATAATTCTCTCATTAAAACTAACAAATCTAAAATTGAATCCTCGTCTAATTCCCCTATAAAATCTCTAATGTATTATTAAATTAGTTAATAATTTCTATAGAAAATTAAATGAAAATCTTTAACGTATACTAACGAATTTCAATTTATAAAATTTAATTCAACGAAAGATTTGTCATTTACAATTTAACATTATATATGCCAGGTCAGTCATTTTGACTGGTCGGGCCATTTTAATTCAAAATTTCTATTTCATGTAATATTTGAGTTCTGTAAATAATTAAGCGTTTTGTTATTTAAAATATCTATAAATCCATTTATCTATTAAAATTATTATTGTTAAACATTTTTTGTTATTTTTTAAGAGAAAATAAAAACTGGAAGCCTCAAAAAGCATTTTTTTTATATCACACGCCAGTCATTTTGACTAGTGTGGTAGAAATAGGTATAATGAAAATGGTGGTATATCTAGTGTTAATAAGAGATAACGCGTTCAAAAGTCGTATATAAAAATGACATAACTTTTCTTGAGAAATATGTCAAAATATAACGTGTATAATTGATATATTATATCCTTAATTTATCGAATTATTTATCATCTCACGTTAAGCGAGAGACCACGTTTAACCCCAACAATGTCCATCGTTTCTTTGACCATTAATTAACATTAGAGCGATTCGATTAGAAGCAAATAATTAAAAGTTTCATCATTTTAAAGGAATCAATATTACTGTAATCAGCGATGTCTCATTATTCTCACTGTCTTTCTCTCTTTCTCTCTCTTTCTCTATTTTGTAAGATAAGATGTTTCAGCTTGTAAAATAATAAAGACACACACACACACACACATATATATATATATATATATATATATATATATATATATATAGAATGAGTGAGATGTGAGATAGAACGAGAGGGGGAGAGAGAGACAGAGAGAGAAACTGACAAAGACAAAGAGAGGCTGATACACGTCATCACAAAAGGGAACTTGAAGCCACAGGAGAGTCTAATTTGAGTACGCCATTGCTTGAGCTTTCGAGAGACAAACGAGACACTCGACAACCGAGAAAGCGGAAAACTTTCTAATTCGATTTAACAAGTTTTCCTACAACAAGTGGGCGAGTGAGATAGAAGAGAGAGAGAAATAGATAGATGAATATAGATGAATAGAGATAAATAGATACATAGGTAGATGGTAAAGATAGATAATTAGATAGATAGATAAATACATAGATAAAATGATAGATAGAAATAAAAATACAGATAACCCTCCTATAATACCATAGATAGGTTCCTAGAAAATGCCGTGTTGTGTGAAATCGTTTTTTATGAGACTTTTTTTTTCAAACCATGAATATGAAAAGAAATACTTTCAGCAACACTGTATCTTTAAGACGGTAAGCCTCGCCGCGGCTGTAGAAGTACAGTGTGGTGCAAAGGTTTTTTGAAAAGAAACAGTGTTATAGGATACCGTGTTGTAGGAGGGCAACCTGTACAAAAAAGCATGATTTTCGAAAGGATTTTTCATTATTTCTGGTAACAAGAAATCATTTGTATTGTTTTCTTGTTTTCTATCAATATTATACAATGTTATTGGAGAACACAGAATATCGTTATTGGTTGCTATAGTCTCGTTTGTGGTGTTTAGATATCATGTTTCCAATGTTTCCTACCAGATGAGAGTAAGAGAGTAAATGAGAGAGAGAGAGAGAGAGAGAGAGAGAGAGAAACTAACGATCGAAGGAGGTTTCCTCGTGCAAGGCTCGTTATGCTCGTGCTTTGCTTGTAAAATGAAATTCTCGGCCGTTTGGTTAACTTGGTATATGCATTTATATATATATGTATATATATATATGTATATAAAGATGTATATGCAAAATGCTAGAGCATTAGTATTATTAACGACTCTCTTGTGTCTAATTCATAAATACCCTTAATATATATATTTGATATTTAACAAAAAAAGAATAAAATGTCCATTTCTTTTTTTCAATGATATACGTAAATCCGATTTGGAAAAAAATATTAATTAAGATTTGTTTCAATTAGGAATGAATAATTTCTTTTTATATTGTTTATAACCAAAGACAATACAGTCAAATATTCTTATTTGTTTTTTTTTTTTTTTTATAACATTTTTCACTCACTCTCTCTTTTTTCTTTTCTCTTTTTTTTATGTACATAGGCATATTTTGAACGTAGAACTATCATTACAGTTTGTCTGGAAAATACGACGATTTTATTGATATTCATGAGATGCGAAACGAGCTTCGCTTCGAAACTAGAGCATGTTATACAATGCAAAGTTTGCCTGAAACGGTCTTTCTCGTAATTGCAATGGTAATCGACACTTTCTATATATATATATAAATTAGTTAGCCTACTAATTTCAATCAGATTTCATACGATTATCTCTAAACCTTCCAAATTGAATATATATCATAGTTACTAGTATACATATATATATATATATATATATATATATATATATATATATATATATATATGTAAGGGTGGGAGAAAGACGAAGAGTGCGAGAGTATGGTGTGCGTGGAAACAATGATGAGCGTGAAAGATTTGTAAGAATATGTAGCGATATGGATATGAGTGTGAGTGCACGCAGCGATATGAGTATGAGTGTGAGTACGTGTAGCGGTATGAATACGAGTGTGTGTGGCAGGAAAGAAAAGCGAGCGTGTATGGTGATGTTATCGTTTTGTAAGCGCCCCGAAATCTCTCGAATATTCCCGAACCGGAAATTGGGAAGAAGTCTTTTGTTTGATCGGTTGGGAATAGTTTGGAGATTTCGAGAATGATTGACGGAAGTGATTGGGACCATTGGTGGGGTGAATTTATATATAAGCGCGGTGAAGAAGGCGGTCTTCGCCTTCTTGGTTCGGTGTGACTAGTGAGTGTTATACGAGTGTGATTGCGATTTCTAACTCTTATTACTTACTTTTTCTTTTCGATTTCTATATTAAGCCTTAATATTTAAGTATTTGTTATATTATAATAAACACTTTTTCTATTTAAATTCAATAAATCTTACATACATATTATTATATATATTATTATCTATATATTTTTTATAATTTAATACATTATAAAATAATTTAAATTTAATATATATTAATTAACCCCTTCAGCACAGCACGCTCGAGTTAACTCGAGCAGTTTATTATTTTATATTTCTATGATTTTTACACTCAAATATAATAGAAAATTGAAAATAAGAATGTGAAAGCAAAGAAAAAGAATTGTTTTATTGATATTTATCATTTACAAGCTATAACAATTACTTATTTATTAATAAAATATAACCTTTTTCCATGGAACAAAATCCAAAATTAACATATTTTTTGAATTATTTTGTCAAAATAATGTTCTAAACTATGCTTTTATAAAAATCAAAAAATGATTTTTTTTTGCTGTTTTTTTTTTAAATGCTTGCTGCTGAAGGGGTAAAATAAATATTAAAATAGTAATAAAAATAAAATAACATTATTATTTTTGAAATAATAATTAAAATAATTATTGAAATAATAATTAAAATAATTATTAAATATAAT